TAAGATAAGCTTTTATGAATAACCAGTGGAGAAACTCAGTTTTCTTGCAGCAACAGTAGCACAAAAACAGAATAAGAAGAGATGCATAGTAAAAAGCAAAAACATAAAGCCTTGAGGTTAATCGGCTCAGCCAACGTCCATCAAGTCTAAAGTGTCATCATTTGTTTCTTTGATCCTATTACTAATTTGTGTACATTTATCATGTGAACTGTTATGGCCAAAATGTTTCTTTGAGGTCACAGCGACCTTGACCTCTGACCCCCAAAATCGAATTGGTGAATGATTTAAAGAAGACGTTATGGGGTTTTTGAATGGACAAATACTGACAGCTAGAGAACCCCAAAAAAAAGTGACTGTCAGAGGAATTGACAACAAAAACCACCAGCTTCATGCAGTGGGGCACCAGTATGCTGTTTTTATTCATTTGTAAGGCTATTACCAGGTAAAGAGATCAAATAAAACATTTCAGAAAATGACAAAAAAATCCTGTCTCGTCTATTTCCTGTGTTTTCCCGCATGTTTGGTTGTATGATTCTTTGCACTTATTACCCTCTTGTTTTTGCCTGCCCTACCCAGCTGTGTCTTGTCTTTGTGATTAGTCCTGTACATGCCTGTCTCCCTAGTGTTCTCTAAAGGTTTGTCTTCTTTGTTCCCGTCTGGTTACTGATGTGTGTTGTTATTTTGGCCCTGGCTGATTCCCCGTGTTCGGCCCTTGTTCCATGTGCCGTCTATGGTCTGTTGTCGTTCAGTTTTTCTTTTGTTTTCTTTGTTTTGGTCCCCCAGTGTGTGTTTGTGTTAAACTGTCCTTGTTATTAGCTTTATTTAATTAAAAGCTGTATTTTGGGGTCCAACCTTTTGTCAAACTGTCAAAAATCCAAGAGAAAATCTGCACTGAACTTTTGCTGCAGCGTTGCTAGCGGTGCTGTGATGATGTCCTTAGTGTCATTGGATGGCAGACGTTAAGCAAACTGCCACATGGCTGCAGGAACACGCAGAACATTGGCAAGCACTGTGGACACAGCAGACAGGACATCTGTATGACTAATACAGGAAAACAAGGGGAGGAATCAGCGAACCCTTCCTCCGGGGTGACTGCGCTGCTCTCTTGTGACGTTTTTAGGCCAATCACTGGACTCATCACACAGGGGTTGCAAGACACAATGTGATGTCTTGTTGATTCCTCTAACATTGAAATAATGTGTGGTCCAGATACTGACACTCACAACTAATGCACTCATGGCAGAACAAACAGCTCATGCTGCATTGGCAATGGACATGGTGTAGATCAAGGTTCAAGGTTCTTTATTGTCAAACTAACATAGCTACAGAGTAATTATGTCGTTGAAAATCTTATGTCACAGGCTTCTCCAACAATGCAACATAATAATAATACAGATAGTAAAAGGTAATACAAAAAGAAAAATAGTTCTAAAATAAAGTGAGTATGTGGAATAGTGCAGTACGAGTCTATATACAAGTTATTGGAATGATATATATTAGATAGTAGATATATATTACTAATTAGCAGATGAATGTTTGAAATTGTTTCAGCAGTTCACGTAGATGTACCGTGAACAAAGTAGTGCAAGCTGTCCAATAGAAAACAGCACTGATCTCTAGCTAAGATGTCTATTCCCAGTATGAGGACCATCATGGGAACTTTTAAATGTGAGTTGCACTATTCCACTTTTTTTTTTCTCACTTTTTTTTAAAACTATTTTTGTTTTTTCATTACTTTTAATATAGTATATTTTAATATTGTTTTAATATTGTCTGCTTATCTGTATTATTGTGTTGCATTGTTGGAGAAGCCTGTGACCTAAGATTTTCAACGACATAATTACTCCGTAGCTATGTTAGTTTGACAATAAAGAACCTTGAACCTTGTTACCAAAACCATCCCTGGTTCATCTAAGGGAAGACTGTGTTAATTTTGAAAGAATACAAATGTGTTTATTTACAATAGAAAAATGGAATTGACCCATGATGACCCAGGTTCATGAATTAAGGACATACTTGTGCCAGGTGGACAAAAAACAAACGTGTTGTCGGATATGCATATGTATAAAGTTATTTTGCGCTTTTATCCTGGAATAGTTAAATATGTTGAATAAAGAAAATCATCACTTCATTTCATTTTGGGGTTTTCCCTTTCCTGTAGTGTGTTATGTTTTTTGTGTAACATTTTCCCTTCTATTGGCTAGCGCTCCAACATATTTCACGTGATGGGCTAAGGAACGGGAAACTTTTAAACAGTTGACCAATAACAACAGAGCCGGCCAGCTAACCAATCAGAGGGTGAAAAGAGGTGCTGTATGCAGCACGAGAAAAATAAAGACCTTTTTGAACATTAAAGCATGGAGACATGTCACAGTAGGAGTACACAATACAAATATGAACAAGAAAATGAGCATAGTATATCCTGTTTAAATAAATACATTCAGAATTGGCAACATTTGGAATTGCCAGGTCGTGTCTATCGTTTTTCCAACCCAATTGAAATGTAACCACACCCACTTCCGCATTAACGTAGCTCTGCCTGACTGCGTCATGGACATACAAAGAGAGCACTTTTTTTGAATATGAAAGAACTTCACAGTTATGCATATCTACATAAAACATACACGTTAATTATTCTTTAAGTATCAATTCACCATGGATTTCAATAATAAACTAGATACCAATATGTTGCTTAATAGCTCTTTTTTTTAGTATTTGAGTAAATGTACTGAACAACTGAAACCGGTGCATATGTAATAAAACTATGTATGATACGCAAATCAATGTTTTGTAATATAACCTCAATAAGAAGATAGTATGGGTTTTTAATCCTGGTTCCCAAGATTTGGGTAAAATAGGTGCGTTCACACCGGAGTACTTTGGTGTACTTTTCCCACAATAGTTCATCAGAACTACGATATATTTGCGTTCACACCAAAACGCCCCAGGAACTAAAGTAGCTCAACTTAGTTCGCGAGACTCGCTTTTCAGTCCCTGCTACAGAGCAGGGTCTATCGTGGGAGAAAGTAGTTCGTACGTCTGATTGGCTGTGCGGAATGCAAACCACGCCCGTTTGACTCAGAATTTTTTGTTGTAAGCGGCCATTGTATTTCCTCGCTTCGCAGCACACACGAAGAGATTCCTTTTGTGAAAGCAGTTATTATAGCAACACTAAATAAATCATCGGAGCGGTGGAGTGATGAGGATGTCTCGGCGCTTCTGGCGATTGACTCGGAGGACGCGAAGCGCCACATTCAGAAGCTTCTACTGAATGCAGTTTCTGTGGCTCTGCAAAGTTAGCAGACCTGGCAAAGTCATGTCGGGACGACTACCAAGGTAAAATAAAATACATGCACTGCACTGTTTTAATCTGCACAATACTGGTCTTAGATGTACTTTTATTTGCTCAGTAGATCGAGCTAGCCATGGTAGAACTTGCTAACGTTAGGTCCAAGCTGGCTAATAACATCTAGCTAGCTAGCTATTCTCATCCATGCCCGCTATGAACACGTTTTGACTTGTGAATAAGTGTGCAATGTTCTGTAATTTGCTTCACTAACTCATGGCACTAATCGTGTGTTTCAGGTGAGGTGTTTCTCTCAGGATTAGAAACTAGTTTTCCCCTCCGGGATAAAACGATAATATAACGTTAGCAATTAGCATGCTAGCTGGACATAATGCTACCTCTGTGGCTAATGCATAGAGGTAAACAATAGATTGTAGTTGAAGTAATTTCAAGTAATTTGCAACATTCATTCTACATGTTAATGGTAAAAGCTTAAACAGTTGATTACCTGCATGCCACAAAGACTGATGTTCTAATATTTTTGCACATTTAAGTAGAAATGTAATTGAAATTCTATTTACTGCCTAAACATTGTTCCTTGTATTATCCTAAATAGTTTGACCTTGTTTCCTCAGAAGGCTTCTCAGACTACATGGAGGATCCCTCAGAGAAACACAGTTTCCACGTTCAGTTCCCCCCCGCTGAGAGTAGGCAGCTCCACACCCTGTGCCCGGTCCATCCTGACCGCTGCTGCCATACTGCAGCAAACAGGAGGGAACGGAGGTGAAAACACACTTTATACATTTAGATATGTGGAGCACAAAGAAAAGCATTGCTAAAAAACATTTAGCAGCTAAACTGTGGATAACAAGTAAACCACATTGGTTTGTTATTCAATATTCAAAAGCTTTTTGAATCATTACATGTCACTTGTTAGACGCTTTTATCCAAAGCTTACATACTCAATACTGTGGGCAATCCCCACAGGAGCACTTTGAGGTGAAGTGTCTCAGGGACACAACGACATGCTGACTGCAGTGGGGTTTGAACCTGTGACCCCTGATCCGAACACCAATGCACTTATCCACTGCGCCACACACCTCCATCCTTTACTCAAGTAGAAGTACAGATACTCGTGTTTGAAATACTCTGGTAAAACTTCTTAAGTAAAAGTAAAGAGGGCTTTGAAATGTACTTAAGTAAAAAGTACCCATAACTACCAGCTGTTTTAAAGAGTACCTGACCTCCCTTTATATTAATAGAACAATAATGTCATTGTTAGCTAATGAATGTTTCCATGCTGAACAACAGCAACATGACAACGTTTTCATTGGTCCCTCTTCTTTAGAGAAGACCAGGAAATGATGGATACACGGATCGTGTTCAAATCAATAGGCACGCAATGACTCTAAATAATAATGATCACGCCACCAAACACACATTCAAACTGAAGTAACCAGCCTGTTTGGAAAATGTAAGAAGTAGAAAGTACAGGTATTTGTGTTCAAAATGTAAGAAGTAGAAAGTACAGGTATTTGTGTTCAAAATGTAAGAAGTAGAAAGTACAGGTATTTGTGTTCAAAATGTAAGAAGTAGAAGTAAAAAGTGATCAGAAAAATAATTAGTGGAATGTACTTAAGTACAGTAACGAGGTATTTGTACTCCGCTACTTCCTACCTCTGACCAACGTGTATCTCTATATTCAGAACACCCAGTATAAGACGGTGGAGCGGGTGGTGCAGACTCTGAAGAACCTGTGCTGTGCTCTGGACGAGACGGAGACCCAGGCCATCACTGAGGCCGTCAAAAGGCTGAAACACTCCGTCAACTTACCCCAGACACGCTCCCCCAAGGTGGGCTAACACTCTGCTTCACACGTTCATACAGAGCGTTGTTTACATGTTAGGAAGTGTTTGTAAGATCAACTTGTTTTGCTTTGCAGATGGGGTCCACATCGTCTGGTCAATCGTCAAATGGTACGTACACACAGTCACACTCCACCTCCACTTATTTAATTTAAATGTGATTGTTGCAGCTTATCATGTCAATGTGGTGCAAAGATGCATTACAGACAGAAATAACTTTTAAATAAAGTCACTGTCAAGTGTCTAAGGCTATTTAAAGACTATGTGGCTTATTCTATTACGGTATGAATCATTCAAAGCTTCATAGCATCATTAATGCTTGCATTAAAATTGTAAAACGTTTAATTTGTATCTATTTGTCCCTATCATGTCCTGAGAGCCCTCCATCCCCCAATTGCTAGTGCCTTCACCATTTAAAATGTTAATAGTCAAATCAAAGGTGTTCCCGTGTTCCTCCTGTTGTGTGCCTGCAGAGACAGATTTGGACAATGTTGTCTCGTTGTTGCGATTAAACTGATCTTGTATCTTGCTTATTTCACCTTAGGAAAGTGGGCACGCGATGACAGCTTCCTTGACACCATCATGGCGATGGCCCGCCGTGCCATGGTCAGCAAGGAGAATGAGGACCTGCGTGCCAAGGAGATGCACGACGAACGGCTGCTGCATTCACACAAGGCCCAGGAATCGAGGTGGAGCAACAAAATACCTTTCTGGCTGGGCTTCTGGCAGTGCTAAGCGAGCTGATTAAATCCAACAGGCCTTCAATACAAAAATTAAGAAAAACTTGTCGTTGATAAACTGTACAATGACTTGTTGGGAGGCGTGTGGTGCAGTGGTCTGGTGCGTTGGTGTTCGGATCAGGGGAGCACAGGTTCAAACCCCACTGCAGTCAGGATGTCGTTGTGTCCCTGGGCAAGACACTTCACCCCAAATTGGCGACACCTGTGACAGTTAATTTTGTATTATTGTGATTATATATATATGCCACTGTTATTAATACTGACACCTAACTTTGCACAAAGGTGTGTCTGCTGCTGAGCCTACCTATTGTTTTTATATATATATATATATATATATATATATATATATATATATATATATATTGCCACTGTTATTATATTGTTTTGATACTACTGACACTTATTGATCTGCTGCTGATAAATAAAAGAGAACCTACATGCACGGCACTAGCATCATGACTGTCTTTGTTTAAACCAGCAGCAGTAGACAGACTAACCTGTGTGTGTGTAACGTAGTTCTTCAGGTGTGCATGCTTAACATGTATGTTAACATGTATGTTAACATGTATGTATACAAACGTTTTTAAAGAGCTTTCAACCTCATCCCATTGTCTTTAACACACATTTAACATAATATACTCATTAATATACAAATATACAGTATGAGTACTGTTTTGATACTGACATTTAATCTTTGCACTAAGGTGTCTGCACTATTGTAATTGTGTCTGTTGACTGGTAAATAAAAGAGAACCAAATGCACTGTACAAAATATCAGCTTTATTGTCAATTTACAATTTCCATGCTGTTCAGATGCCTCTCCACAACGTTGCTTCCAGGCGAATACAGAGGAGTTGAAAAGAGCCCTTGGACATTCGGAAATCTTCGATCCACTGCACACGTTGGCAGCACCTCCCACCAGGCCGACGTTCTATTGTTCACCCAGAGTTCCGTAGTATTCGCATATCTGGAACACATACAAAGACACAAATTAGCCCTACATAACTCCATAAATCCTACATTAGATAGTATTAATGTGATTTAATGAACGTACCATTGCTGTTCTTTGGGCGTGATAACGGTCATCATCCTCGGCTGTACAACGGCGAAACATGTCCATCGCGTGTGATTTCGTCGTCTAATCCTTTTGTTAAGGCTTCTTAACCGCCTTCGCCTCCGACTCAGCATTTCTATTGCATTTGAATGGTCGATCTGTATTTGTGGCTGAGTTATTGGCTTAAATAACTCAGTTACGAAGCTGTATAACACGACCATCAAAACGTCAACTCCATACCGTGTCTGAGGTCGGAAGGTAAACAGAAGCATCCAGCGGAAGCGGAAGTTTTTTTTCTTCTTCTCTCGGTTTTTTGGCGGATTGCAACTTTAAGGTGCATACCGCCACCTACTGTACTCGCCGTGAAGTTGTTTGCAGCCTGCCAGGAAAACCTGAGCAGAAGAAGAATAAGTGACGTCAGCGGCTCATTTGCCTAATCCACCCCCAGGAACTCATTTTGGTGTGAACGCGATCTGCTTTAGTTCGTCAGAACTAAAAGAACTCTCATGAACTAAAGTT